ATATATATATATATATATATATATATATATAGGCGATCATGTTTCTCCACAATTTCCTGTCCTTTTTCGCACTTATTAAAGTTTGTCTTTTTTCGCTATCCCAATATTTAGGTGTTGCATTTTCGTCCTCTGTTAAAACACTTCCTAGATATTTGCATCTTTGTACTTGCTTGACTTTGGTATCTCCAAGTTGTAATTTGTATGTTGGGCTGTTCATTTTGTTGGCAAAAATATATTCTCTTTTCTTACAATTGATGTTTAGTCTTTTCTTCTCATTTTCCTTTACTATCTTCTGTGGGAATTCCTGTATTTTCCTTTCTGTGTCTGCTGCACATCTAATATTGTTAAAATTGAGGCCGCCAATAATGGATTCTGGTAGAACTTTTAATTCTCCCAGGATTGCTCATTTTTGAATAAGTCTGGTGAGAAGACCCATCGTTGTCTTACGCTCCTTTCTATTTTTGTGTATTTACCGAATTCATTTTCTAATCGAATACAGACGGTTTGCTCCCAATATTGATTCTGGATTATTCCAGTGTCACTCCTAAATAAATCAACCTTACCTAACAGTCCCAACAATTTTTTTGTGAAGTGCGTTCTGGGCTCCAGTTCTTTTCTGTGCGTGCTTGAATTATTATTATTATTATTATTATTGAAATGATAATTCTGTTTCGGTTCCGACAGTGCTCCAACACCATTCTAAAAAACAACGTTCTCTTTATTATTATTTTATTCTTTTGATTTCTGGTGTATACTCATTTCTTTCCGGGTCCCAACCAGAGACTTAAGGCCAAAAATAGCATCATGATATTTTCCACTGAGCATTTTAAAAAAAACAAAAAAACACTAAGATCACATACATTTTACATCGTAAGGTGTGGGCTGTATTTGTGAGTACAATTTCTTGTATTTCTTTCAGGCCAGAGTTACCATAAATCCCTACAATGAATCAATCAAATCAATCCGCGGACTCCAACTACAACTAGAGTTGTTGATGTCCTCATGTGTCACATTTCTGAGAGTTCGATTTCAAGTTTCTTGTATTTTGATAGTTTTTTGAAGATCTTTAAAGATACATTGCAGTCTGCAGAGACTCTGTCATGTCAATAAGAAGATAGATTTTGTCTTTGCGATTTTTAATCACGATGTCTGGGCGATTAACTTTAACTTTTCTCTTTGTCTGTATTGTAAAGTCCCATAAAATTGTTACAGGTTTTATCTCCGTAACCGGGTCTGAGTGGTGCTCATACAAATTTCATGCAGTTTTCTTTCCATAAAAGTTGCATATTTTCCAATGCAGATATTGCCCACTCTGTCATACCGTGCAACCTGATACAAGATGATTATTTGTTTCTGAATATTTATCAGAGAATCTGCATTTTGAACTAACATAATTTATCAATGTGTGTGCATGGTAATTTCTAGTTAGCAAGCATTGGTCCTGTGCAGCAAGAATAAAACCTTCAGTTTCAGCTTTTAACCCTGCGCTACATAGCCACTGTTGGGTACAAAGTTTGTCTACATCATCTTGTTTGGTACAGACAGAATATTGACTGTGAAGAGATTTATCTTGCCATCATTTCTATATCTGGTCGATTGCATTTGCCTTTGCTTTCTTTTGAAGGTTTTTGCTGTTGCAGCAAGTTTATTATATTTTACTTCCATTTCTTCACCCACTTGAAACTCCATTTTGAACTTGTTGGCTTCCTTTATTACTGAATAAAGTTTCTTAGATCTTTGATACAGATCATCATCCAGTCTTCTGTAGTTTCCAGGTATCTTTGATGGCCGATTGTTGTAGTTCTACAGAACTACAACAATCGGCCATCATAGACAGTTCCAGTTGAACTAATCCTCTGCATCCTTCGGATCTGGACACATACGGACAATCAATATCAGACTTGGGATGATTCATGAGATGGAAAGTGAGAAGCTTTCTCGTTTTGGCGTCCATTCGCTTAATATCAACTATGGTTCAGTTAAGGATGTTGAAACATTATTGCACCACGGGGATAGCCAAGATGTTTATGGCTGATATTCTGTTTTTTTTTTAATTCAACTCAGTATTCAATACCAAACGGTCTGTAATATTCTTTTCTTTCACCTTTCATAATTCCTACGTACTTATAGGCTTCCTCTTGTTTCTGTTCCCTAATCTTTGTTACAAAATCTAGATCTATTGAATGTGTTTCTGTAATTCTCCCTTTCTTGAATGTTACTTTTGCACATTTATCTAATCCGAAATCCGTATCTATGTCGTCACTGAAACATTTTACAGTATTGAGGAGAGTTTTCAATTCATTGCTATCTTTGTCAAAGAGTTTGAGATCATTCATGTAGATTAGGTGATTAAATACTTTATTGTTTACTTTGTCTCCATAGGTATTATTATTTACTTCATGCGTAAGGGGGATTAAGGACAGACAAAACATAATGGGTGAGAAATTTTATTCTTAATTTTTACTTACTAACCTGATGGGTTTTAAAAACCTTACAGATTAAACTTAATTTGTGGGGTAAAATGATCATAACCTTAATTCCTATTGTATGTAATTTATATGCTCTGTTTGAATAAAAAATTGAGTTCTCTATGTGAATCAGTTTTAATACTTTATATTATATTATTAGGATTGGCTTGGATTATATATCAACGGATTATTACCTATATATATATATATATATATATATATATATATGGAATATATGACAAAGTGGAAAAAGTCATACGTTTCAAAACATATTTTCCCTAATATTGTTCTTGGTATATAAAATTTATATATCTTTATCACACACACACACACACACACACACACACATATATATATATATATATATATATATGAATATGAATGATAAAAATATAGTTTGATGAAATGATATATTTCTGATTTAATGTGCTCAATATCAAGGATAAAGCTTATGTAAATATAAAAGTGGACATTCAGGTGAACACCCAGCGGCGACATTCTGTTTCATGCTTAAACGCAATCTTCAGGCCATCAAAAGATCATGTTGTTGGTTTCTGTGTCTTAACTACATTAAAATATAAATCAAAACATGACAGACAATAGCGATATTGCAAAATTTGAACTGAAGATTGCGTTTAATTTCTAAAGAATTAATGTATTTAATTTTTTTAATTCATCATATTTTTATTACTTCAAACGTTATTTTTAGTGGATAGTTATATTACAATTTAATTTGTTTACGTTTCGAATACAAAATTGAAAACCAAATGGAAAAGCTGATTAAAAATAATCCAAATCACACGACACAGAATATCGCAGAGATACTTCACATATCTCATATAAATAAAGGTTGTAAGCTCTTTTGAAAACAGTTCGATACATGAATCGTTAGAGTGTATGTGCACCTCACGGGAAAAAATGACTATCATATTTTCATCCTCGATTCTCTGCTCAAATGCACTAAAATCGACCCATTTTTTTAAAAGAACGATCACCGATGATGAAAAATGGATTGTTTACAACAATCTGAAGCGAAAATATCCTGGTATAAAACAAAATGAGACACTGTTAATAACTACAAAATCTGATCTGCACCCGAAGATAGTGATGCTGTGTATCTTGATGGATTGGAACGGCAGTCTGTATTATTAATAATCACTTCCACAAAATCAGACAATGAATTCAGAGAACTACTGTTCTGAACTGAATCGACTAAATGCATCAGTTGATGAAAAGACTTCGGAATTGGCCAATCGGAAAGATTTCATCTTCCAACAGGAGAAAAACAAACTTCATGTCTCTTTGCAGATCCGACAGAAATTGGTACAGCTTGGCTTGGATGTTCTACTACACCCGCTGTACTCACCTGATTTACACCTTCACATTACCGCTTGTTTCTTTCCCTAATAAATTGTCTTAATTGGAAGGGCTTCAGTTCTCTGAAAAAAAAAAAACAAAAAAAAATACACTTAAACTAAGACAGAAAGATACCAACCTCATGAAGGATTGGGTTCATGAAACTGCATCAAAGATAATAAAATGAATGGACAAAAATACCATATATGTGACTGAATAAACCTATGCACAAATATCTAAATATTGTCTTTAAGATTCACTTAAAACGACACGCACTTTTGTTCCATCAGAGTACTTCTTCATTTGTATCCATTTTTGTTCAACTCAATCGATAATGGAATCTGAAATGCAGACAAAAAAAGGCGAGAGCAAAAGAATCAGTTTGGAATAAGCTGCAATTTTATGTTGATGTTTTTTTTTTGTTTTCTTTTTTAGATGTTATCGCATAACAGAGCATAAGATCAGAGTTCTCCAGAAATTGATTAATATTGGGGAGATCTTAAAAAGTTCAAGAGATTTTATTACCAATAAATGGGGGAAAACTGTCAAATTATTTTTATAGATCATCTATGCAGTACTAAGCAGCTTATATTTCTAAAATGATACAATTTATCAGGAGTTGATCGCTACATCCATAGGATCCCCATCAACAATCATTTTGCATTATTGGGACGAAATTGTTACGCTACGTGTGAATATTTATTCATTTTTTATATTTATTAATTTTTTCATTTTTTTTTTCATTAAACAAATTCACGAGCATATGAATGCTCATAAAAGAAGAAAGCCAAAATATTGGGTATGTTTGAAATATTCTCATTTCTCCAGAATTTCTTCCAAAATATGGAAATATTAATATCTTACCAAAGTTGTTTTTGCAATTGCTTATTCTATTCTTCTTCTACTTCAGTCGATTGTGAGTGCTTGTTGTAAATATGCATATTATTCCAGAATTTCCCCCAAATTTGAGAAATATTAATATCTTGCCAATGTCTTTGCAATTCTGTATGTTCTTCTAGTTGTTCATCCCAATGTGAGTGCTCGTTTGAAATATTCTCATTACTCCAGAATTTCCTCTTATTTTACTTTATCATCAGTTGGAATTTCATCTTTTCTGTTACTATTCAGTCAGGTCAACGGTCTTTTCATTATGAATCTACTTCGAGGCAATATTAAATGTTCTTACATGGATGTGGTCACTCTCTCTCTCGCTCTCTCTCTCTCTCTCTCTCTTTCTGTGTGTGTGTGTGTGTGTGTGCATTTAAGTGACGATTTAATGATTTCTTATCTTACATATTATTAAATTTTACCTTTGCAAAGTTCAAATCTCCAGCACCTTCCTCAATATTATTATTATTATAAAAACTAAAACGAAAATTCTGTGTTGCTATTTGCAAGTCTCTCTACTGCACTATCCTCAATATTCATATTCTTCTTGAGATTCTGAACCTTTTTATTTTTTTCTGTCGTTGATCTTTCTCTTTCACTTTCTAATAAATACTTCGTTTTCTTTTTTCTTTTCATTCCTTCTTTTGTTTTTACTTTTCATTGTTACTTTTTCTCTTTTTCTGCCTGTCTATTCATTCTTTCTGTCAAAAAGAGTTACTTGCAAATTAGTGGCCCACATCCATTAATGTAGTTAACAGATAAACACAGGTCATTTTGTAAACTTACAAGATGGAGAAAGTGGCGTATCGTTCCCTTTTCTTAATCCGTCGCTTTCCTGTCTGGAAATGCAGCCATTTTTTTTATCGTAAAAATAGATGCAGTTCCACACAGAGTTGAGGATACACGTTTTTACATCAACTAAATTATATACAATGTAGATAGATAGATAGATATACACAAACCTAAACCTGTCCACACTAAACTAGCCCGCAGAGATAGAACATATGCCAATATATACATCCAATCATTATAAAGTCTGTCTCCAAACATAAACAATAATGAAGCTACCGATGAAAAAATTAAGAAAACTATTAAAAACTCGGGGATAATAAAGCATTACTCGACATTGAGGCTGAACAGTGTCGTTTATTACACATTAATGCATAATGGAAACAGAAAGGTAAGCCTCAAGAGCCTCATACACACGTATCTCAATTAGATCTATCATGGTCAAAGTGTTAATGAACATTGTATTAACTAGGCTCCCATCGTTTTATGAAAGTCAACTCATCACGACCAATTTTCGTTTTGGTAAGACATGCAATATTGGAATATTTGTCATCAAACAACTCCAAGAAATTGCTTACCTCTATGACAGGAAATTGTATAACTGCTTTGTCGATCTCACAGCAGCATAGGACCACATCAGTAAAGACTTCCTCTTTTCACACATTATAAATCGCTTTCCAAGGTCCGAATCCACCGAATGCATCAACTTACATATGTGGCGAAAATCTCAATACGGAAACATCAGGAGTAGAACAAAGAGGAAATGAGGGTCCCATCATATTTAATCTCTTCCTAGCTTATGACCTGCAAATTTACAAACACAAATGCGAAGAGATGGGTACTAATCATTTCAGCCTTCTATACCATATCCCAGACGAATCTACCAATAGAAGGCAACAGTCCTGCTTTCCCTCCCGGGTCCAACATACTGATAAAGAATGGGGTAGTCTGATAGAATAGGTATTCATAGATAAGAATTATCTTGAACATCCTCTATTAAGTGTTCCAAAGCGTAGGACTTAAAATAAACCTTTCCAATACAGAAACTATGATTTGGAAATTATCATAAATATTCAGGATTTGGAATCAGCAAATACTAAATGTTTTAAATAACCTCTGCGTATGGATCAGATATAAACAAATTTAGTATAGAAGAAACGGATATTTGAACATAGAATAGGATGCACTGGGTGGTAGTTTTGTCCAATATTGCAAATTGCTAAAAAGCCAAAACATTAACCTGAAAACTCGAGTCATGTTCTTAAATAACCTCGTCAGATCGACATTTTCATATGGATGACATGCATGGCACCAATGTTCTAAATTGTCAGCTGTATACAACCGCTTTCTCAGATCAATGGTTAGAAATGGTTTTGAGAGAGTGAAGCCTATGAGTCTTGGCAAAAATCATCATTCTTTGAACATTGTAGACTGGCGCTACAGAATCACAAAGAACTGTACCAAATAACAGAAACCATGTCACTTGCGGACTACCAACTGCAGCAACAACTAAAATAGATAGCATATATAACAAGAAGAGAAAATAATGATATAATCAAGATATGGACATTCCATACTACTTCAAATAAAAGATTACGAAGGAATATGCCATCAATACTGGAAAGAGCGATAACAGCAACTGGATTTGAGAAATCTGCCAAATTAAGTCAAAAGCTTTCTTCGGATTTTTCGCTGATGAATTTGGAAACTTATATCTCCATGTTTTATTGTTTATTTGATACAACTTGTCCAATTGTTGCTGAATTCCTTATTCTTTATTTTCATATATAACATATAAACATTGTTTATTCTTTATTTTACAACTTTGATAATAAGTGTTGAAAAGATTGCAATTAGAGACATTTTACCTTACCTGCAGAAAAAGGACTGATTGCAAGAGTAGCAAGAAAAGAAATGAATGGTGCAGAAGACCAGAATGCGTCAACAAACGAGTGACAAAAATGGTTAAGACATTTTAAGGAAAGTGATATCAGCCTCGAAAACAAACCACGGTCAGGGATACTATCTCTTGTGGATGGGGTAGCCTTGCTTGAAATGGTTAAACAGCCAAGCACAAGTACACTACACGTACATTGTCAGCAGAAGTTGGTTCTTTACAGAAAACCATCAATTGACATCTGTATAAACTCTTTCTTGGGAACAAACGCTGTCAAAAAATTCCAGTGATAAGGCTCAACGATGTGTGAATATTTGAAAACAACTGTTAGCATATCCTCAAGATGCCATTTTTGGCGTTGGATTGTAACTGGGGATGAAAAATGGATTTATTTTTGTCATTGTAATCAGAGAAATCAGTATCCTTGTTCCGGCCAGGCTTCAGAATTTGTGATTAAACAAGGGAGATTTGAACGGAAAGTCATGTTGTGTGTTTGTTTTAAGGGGTTGTTGCATTGTTCTCGATCGACATGCAGTGAGCGCTAACCTTTATGCTCAACAACTACAGCGAGTATAGGATACTTTGAAAGCCCTCTATCCTGCCTTGGTCAATTGAAGACGTGCACATTTACGCCAAGACAATCTCCCAGTACAAACTCTACTGTGACCAAGCGTAAAGTTGTGGAATTTAAGGGGTTGAAAATACTTAACCGCGCGGTCAATGAATGCCAAATGTTTCCTTGCAATGTAATGACTAATATTACCATTACTATATATCAGGTAATAAATAGGCAGTAATCGAACAGAAAAAAAACTCCAAATTAACGCGCTTCGCCCGTAGCAGGAACATCTTCAGGCTAATACTGGTTTTTATTGATGGTGCTGACTGAATGAAATCAGTTGTTATACTTCTAGATGAAAAGGAAATCGACAAATTAAAACATTTAAATTTAAAGTCTAGTGTTCCTGCATTTTTAACTTTTTCGATGTAAAATTGTAATCTGCATTTGTTGCATTTTCCACACATTATC